CTCTTTGGCAGGGAAACGTCACGCCCGAGTTCGTCGCAATGTTCCCAGCTCGTAAGTACACAATCCCCTCCTGCTGCTCTAACCTGCCTCACTCGAAATACTTAAACAACCATAAACCCCACCCTCCGCATCCCATATTGACCCCTCCCAGAATGGTACTGCGATGTCATCGATATAGCTCGAATCCACATTGCAGCACTCCTCCTCCCAGACATCCAATCCGAACGCCTCATTGCCTACGCGGGCAAGTTCAACATCAACGACCTCCTCGCCGCCTTCCGCCAAATCCAACCAGACCGAACCTTCCCTGACGACCTTCCCGATCTCCCCTCGGATAAGGGCACTATTGCCAACGAAAGAGCCACTCAGCTGATGGAATGTCTTCAGGGTGGCAAGGGCTGGACGAGTTTGAAAGATTGCCTGGCGCCGTTGGCTGAGCAGTATGCAGCGGCTGAGGCGGAATCAAAGTGATACCGAAACGAAGTCAAAGGCGAATGGACACATGGACGAGCTTCACCGGGTCGTATCTTGGAGAACTCAAAAGCCTTTCAATTGTCCTTGGGGTACTGTCGGACTGCCGCTTGGCTGTCTCATGAGCCCAATGGAATGTTGTATATCTACAAGTCGCGCTGAAGCCAACCCCCGATGCTAGGCTTGGAAAGTTGAAAGGCATCGTGTCGTAAAGTGAAATTGGTATCAGAGAGAGAAATTTACATCACGATCTATCGGCAAAGTTAGCAGTGCACTCATCAACAACAGTGCGGCTTCACTTACGCAGTCAGACTCATCCTTCCCCTTAGGAATGCCCATCGCCTCGAAGGTGGCAGGTCCCTGGCCTGTCGCTTGCTTCTTGGGAGGGGGCATAGTCTGAGCACTAGGAGCAGGGCTGGGTTGCTGCTGTGGGCGCGGCTGAGATGAGGGCGGCGCACTGCCCGTTCGACCCGGCTGATCGGCAAGGTCTGGTCGGTTGGGGAAAGGCCGGGGCTGACCCGCCGGTCCAGGACCGGGACGCGGTTGGCCTGAAGGGCTAAGCGGCATCGAGTCAATCCGCTGAGGTGCCGCTCCTCTTCCGTATCCATACTGAGCATCAGGGGGGATGGATGATGTTCGCTGGCCAAAGTTACCAGCTTGAGCAGGCGGCGGCGTAGGCTGACCGTAGTCGCTCGGGCCATAGCTTCCCTGCTGCGGAGGGTACGGGCTTTGCTTGGGCGGCCTGTTCGCGGCTGGGTTGGGAGGAAGGCCACCTGCCGCTGGGTATGGTTGGCCGGGTGGCCGCGCGGCGGGACCAGGGCTCGGTTGGCGATATCCTGCAGGTCCCCCGACAGGCACACGACCGCGCGGGTCCGAACCGGCCGGTGGAATCATGTTGCCCATTGACTGTGAAGCGCGAATGTTGCCTGCAGGTCCCGGAGGACCACCGGGACCGGTACGAATGCCAAATGCACTACCGGGGCGATCGGAGTGCGGGCCAGAGACGGGACGACCACCACCGTAGTGAGGGGAGAGCTGAGGTCCAGCGCCCCTGCCACCGCCGCCGCCGCCGTGGTGCATTTCATCCTCGGGATACGGTGCCGTTGATTTCGGTCTGTTCAGGTTGAGCGGAGCAGGGCGGTCGTCTTCTGGGTATGGAGCAGCCGACTTGGGCCGGATTGCAAGGTTGGAGTCGAGATTAACGGTGAATGCGGCTGGCCTGTTGCCCATGCTGTTGGGTCGTGACGGGTCAGGGTAGTCAACGGTGTCGTGCGGCGCCGAACTAGGGTGCACTCTGGGCGACGGGTGAGGAGATGTCTTGGCGGACGTAGACGGGTAGCCGGGGTGGGCATCGGTCGGGGTGACCGGCGTGCTCTCGGAAACAGTCGGCATGGTATTCGGCTGCTTGAAGCGATCAGGCCTCTTGCCGCGCTGAGAGCCATGCTGCGACTTGATTCTCGTCAGCGTCGTAGTTTCGTGGTCGGCCTTGGTCAGACTCTTCTCGTGATCCAAGGCATCGATTCGGCCTCTGGCGTCCTTGTTGCCATGGTCAGCGGCCGCTTCGTACCAGAATCTGGCTTGGCGGAGATCCTTGGGCACATGAACGCCAATCTCGTAGTAGTATCCCATGGCAAATTCTCCAGTCGGCAACTTGGCGTTGGCAGCATCTTGAGCGTACTTGAAGGCCAGCTGTTCATTCTTATTGAAAATGCCCTCGTATCCGAACAGGAACCATCTGCTCACACCGAGCGACGCCTCGGGCTGTCCTTGCTGGGCGGCTAGTCCGTAGTAATGCAGCGAGTACGCTGGGTTAAAGTCGCATCCGAGCTGGCATAGCTCGTAGGCCTGACCAATCTTCAACTGAGCCTTGGCGAAGCCAAGGTAAGCGGCTTTCTCGATATACATCTTGGCCTGGTGCAGGTCCGTCTGAAGCAGAGCCTCCGGAATATCAATGTCAGGAAGGTCCCTGGCGAGGAGCATCCCATAGACATATGACCCTTGCGGCGCATCCTCGTCCGAGAGGTCAGCGGCCTCCCTAATAAGGTCTAGACCTCGCTGGTAGTCTTTCTGGTGGTTGTGCTGGCCGAGCAGACTCATCATGCCCAAGCGGTACATAGCGGCCGAGTCTTTGAGTCGCAGACCGAGGTAGTAGTGCTCGACGGCTTTGCTGTAGTCGTTCGAGTTCTCAAACAGCATGCCCAGACGATACTCCGCACGCGCGTAGCCAAGCTCTGCCGCGCGCTGGTACTTTGTGTACGCATCTCTCTTGTCAGGTCTGCAGCCAAACTTTCCAAACTCGAGCCACTTTGCTTTCATAAAGAGTGCCTCGGGATGTTCCTGGCCCACCAAATAGTTGACAATGTTGATTGCGTCGACGCGCAGCTCGTGCTCGACGTTTGGTGTCTGGCGGCCACTCTCTGGGTCTCGGCTTCTGGCATCCATAACAATCTCAGCCCAAGCTAAGGTGTCGCGAGCCCATGACAGCTGCATAGAAACATTATTCGAGTGCAGGACATGCTCGCGGGCGTTCCACAAAATCGTTTCCTTTTCCTCGTCCGTCGGGGGGACGTTGTCCCCTGTGAGCTTTGGGAAAGGAGAGAACGAGGGCGCCGCGCTGGGCCGCATCTTATGAGGGTTGTCGCTCGCGCTGTTCTCGTGGAAGGGTCTGTAGGAGTCGGTCGGGGGTGCGCCGGCTTGGGCGTCGGATCCTCCTTTCGGCGGCAGCGTGGGCGCACCAGAATCGGTTGGCTTGAGGACAGAGGACAGGGACGGCTCACGACCGTGTCGGTTGGTAACGCTGTTGCTGGAGACGGCTGCTCGGTTCGGGGAGACTTCACGGGCTTCAAGTTCCATGCGCTGAAGGTCGTTTTGCATGTTCTGGGGGACCTGAGGCGTTACACTGGAGGAGAGGTGCGGTCAGCATAAGGCTATCGGGTTAGGAAAAGGGACGGAACAAAGACAAGGAGCGGCGCCAAAAACGGCCCCATCTCCAGTTCCAGCCAGCGGGAAAGGAGGGGCCCATGGTCGATCCGCCAAGATTAAAATGAGGGAATACGCGTACCGTTGAGGAGCAGGTGCAATGACCTCGGGCATGTAGTAGTCATCGAACCCTCCAGGAACGAAGGTTGCGCCGAATTGTGGCATCTCGTCGGTTGTGTTTTTGGGCTGAGGTGCACCTGCATAAATAGGAGGATATCAGTCAGCGGGGGTTGAGTCGAATGACGTTTAGGTTGGAGCCACCGCCAGCTTTTTTCTGTGTGGTGGTCTCTTTGCTGACAGTTGGGCCGGTCGCCTTCTGGAGCCCCCGGAAAAAGGAGCTGCTGCTGCTGCTGGCTGCTGCTTTTCGTCGGGCTGATCTGCTTCTCAAGTACGCCCGGCTAGGGTACGGGAGGGGAAAGTAATCCTGAGTGGGGTGGGATTTGGCGAAGAAAAAAGTAGGTAATCAAAAACGATCAATAAAAGCTGAGCTGATGTCGGAATGGGCTTGAGAGAATATCCAAGTCCTTGGGTCCTCTTATGAACTGTGTCTGCCTTCACTTGCTCTCTTGTCTCGAACCGCAGGGCGAGGATGTCCGGAAGCGGGGTGGAGAGTCCAGGTCGAAGCTCAAAGCATCTGGGATTCTCGACGGCGGGCCCTTTCTTTTTAGCGTGCAGAAAGAGCTGAGTGTCCCCTTTTCTCTTGTGTGCGCGAGCCGGCTAGTGAAACATGGGAGCAGCTTCGGATAGGCGTGCCAGGTGCCAATGTTGCATTTCTCTCTCGGGCCAGGAGTGAGGGGGGAACTCCCTTCTGTTTGTCCCATCGCCCAGAAAGCGGGACTGACCAGGGAAGTTATACCAGGAGGAGGAGGAGGAGGGGTCATTGGTCTCGTCGCAAGTCGTCGAGTGTGCCCATGGTACTCCACCGCCCAAGCCGCAGCACGGGCGCTAGCTCGCTGTGGCAGCAGAGGGAACGGATGAGCTGAAGAGCAACAAGCCTTTGTCTTTTTTAGTGCTCGTGGTCATGGCCATGCTGATGTCAAGATGTCGCTGTGCAGCTCCTTGCTGCGGCTTCGAGAATCGACAGGTACTTCGTCTGTACTTTCCGGGTTGACAGTGGGCGGAGCAGGGGGGTGGGCTGGTCTCGAGGATCAGGTACCGAAAGGTAATCGAGGGGGGCCGCTCCAGGATGAGGCATGTAAGACGTTCAATAAGCGTTGGAGACCTCTCTCGTCGTTTTGACGGCCGTCCATTCCGTCAGTGACTAGGATATGTCATCTGACCAGCATGAACAGACGGCGTGGCAGTGGCAGCCCGTGGCCATCCGAAGACAGAGAGCAAGTGTGGTTGAATGCAGAGGAGTGATCTGGAATTCTTTGGAATTCTGACATGTGCACATGGCACCCAGGAAGCGCAAAGATGTCAAGTCCTTGCGCGCTGGACTGTACGTATTTCGCTTGGCTATGGCAGACGCATGGAACCGTGGTGTTGGTAGGCAGAGAAGAGTAGTTACTCCGTAGAGGAGCAGCAGCAGCAGATTTCCGGTTCGGGGGTCATTCGGGCTCCCGGCTTGATAAATGAGGCGGTCTCCACGAAAGGGAGATGGAAGAGGGCAAAGGAGGGAGATGAAACTTACCAAGGGCTTTTCCCAGATGAAATCCAACTTGTCCATGTCCTCCTCCTTGTGAAAGCTGTACCTGACCCTCGGAGATGGAATGTGGTCCAGACACAGCGGCTGTTCCACCGCGACTGGCGCTTCTAGTGCCGCGGCCGTTGTAGGGTGGGCCTCGCACGGCACCCGGCGCATGTCCCTGGCCAAGCCGCGCGTACATCGCCCATCGGGCTTTGCACCTTTCGAAGGGTGTCATACCCTTTGAGTACGGATACCACATATTGTGTTCTCGAATGACAGCAGGGGTTTTCGTTTGGTAAGGTAATGAGAGTTCGGCCGAATCAAGCTAGACCAGAGTTGGGAGGAACCCGCGGGATCGAGTGGCGCATACCGGGACGGGTGGACGAATGTCGAAACACTGTTGGCGATGGAGGCTCGTGAATCTGGGTATCGATGCTCCGGAATGCGAGATGGATAGGTCTGTCGATGTGGTAAGGTAGGAAGAATCGCTTGACGAGAACGCCAAGCGATAAAATCTGGATGAGGTGGGCGGAAAAATAATATCAGGTGTGAGGTTGAAGAAGAAGTCTGATGTAGTGAGGTTGAAGGCTTCCATTGAGAAGATATTACTTTTCTTGAAGCAGAAGCAGAAAGAGCAGGAGCTTCACCATCGCGCTTTCCTGCCTCCTGCCGTTTTTTCTTTTCTGTCTTTTTTTACCAAATTACGGGAAGGAAGGCCCAAAGAGTCGGTCGGTCCTGCCTCACATGGCCTCGCTTGCTACCCGTCCCGTTCTACAACTCGATAGAAACTTGGAAGGCGCGCTGGATGTTTCCTGGCTCCTTCCCAAGGCACCTTAATTAGATGCGACGCGGCAACATGCACGGAGAGCAACAAAACGGGACGATGCATCTGGCCGAGACGAAGCAGCCAATGATTCTCACCATCTCAGTAATTCAAGGTTCAGGTTGGCATTAGAAGACGTGATGTCGCGACACAGACAAGGCGGCAGCGTTGCGCTGCAGTCAATCCCTCCAAATCCACCACCTCATCAGGTACGTTACTGCGTAAGGGCCTGTGGTGGCTGCTTGCTGGTGCAGAACACCCCGCCCCCATGTCCTGCCCCTGTAAGGGAGAAGAAATCCATGAAGGAATTCCAGTAAGGCATTGGATGGATCGCTGGAGCCTACGCCACTGTCCGACCGTTGACCCCAGAGGCCCCTCTCAATCTCACAATCAAAGGCACCTGTTTTCATCCATTGCATTCCATTGTGCCCTATTATCCGTACTCAATACGGTCATTTCATTTTTCATGCTTCTTCTTATGAGATTCCATGTAAACTGCACTGACCACCATCATGATATCAGTCACTCCATCCCCCTCTCGTCTTACTATGAAAAGATGAGAATGATCCTGTAAATTCCCATGAGAAACTCACTCCCCAAGCCTAACCAATCACTTGCGGTCCGGGTGTTGGTTGGCAATGAATGACATTCACACCACAAAGTCCCAAAACTCAATCAAAGGTCATCCACTCGGGTATCTCGCGTTTCCCTGCGCAGCCCGCTTTGCTCAGCCACAATGTCAAATTCGAGATTGTCTTTTTTGCTCAGTTTCCAAACATAGAAACAGACCCTTGCTGCTTGCATTTCTCGAGTGACCAACGAGTGACTTTGCATACCTTACCTACCGCAGCTGCCCGTCCCGTCCTTTGGGGGCCAAGTCCCCGATCGCAATCGGAATCGCTTGTCTCGTTATCGTTCATTCCACTGCTTGGCGGCAGCTTCATGAGCGATATGAATTTGCATCGGTTTGTGCGAGTCTGAACGATTAAAATTGAAATGAAAAGGGATATAAGACAAAACTCATTCGAACTCATAGCCTTCAAAATAATGACACTATTCCGACGTGTATTCGGGTACATTTAAAAGGAATACAGGTCACCTGACAACATCAACCGTCACCAGAATTACTATGGAAGGAAATCCAAAAAAAAAAAAAAAAAACAAGCGATCCATGGCATTATGTAGGACCGTGAGCCAACATACGCTTCCAACATCAAGGCTGGAATCGTACCGCTCGGTCATCGACTACAACGGACGGTGCTTGTTGAGAATACTCTCATCTTTGCTCAGTATATACCTATCAACGCTCACGAAGTGAAGGTCGTTTATTGATTAGAGGGCTCAGACTCCGAATTCATAGTCTTCCAGTCTACCATAAGATCGCATCCTCAATCCGTTAATATCTAAATGCGTGCAGATGCACTCCAGTCAGGATCATCGCAGTAGCAACTCAATCCCCCCCCCCCCCCCTCTTCCATGCTGGCAGCGACTCCTCATGATTTATTCCATGAATTTCTGCTTGGCGCTCCGAATGTCCCCAAACCCACGTCATAGATGCCACAACGGCCATCATCCGACCCAACCCGTCCCATCTTTTCACCCAAAAGTAACCATCCTTTACCAGGCCATGCCCTGTTCACCAAGCCTTTGAGTGTAACCTTACGCAAGTAGACTCCAGAGCCGACACTCAACAGCATACTTCATCGCCGGCGCTATTCGGCGAGACGAGACGAGACGAACGATCTCTGGCTGCAGTGTGGAAGCATCGCGCTAACAAGAAATCTCCAATATTTCTAAACTCCATCTGCCCACCCATCGACACGTGTTTATTCTGCACTTTGCTTCTCCGGAACTATGTTTCTTTTTTTCTGCTGCTGCTGCCCGTTAGAAACGATTTAGCCGCGCGTATACCTAACGCCATCGACTTCAAAGGCTCTTGTGTCACTAGCGCCTAGGATTCGGCTCCCGACGGGCGGTTTGCGGCAGATCGACACTTTTAAACCAATCTTAACCCACACATGCTCACTATTTCCATCTTCTATCCGCCTATCACTTATCATAGTCACCTTCCCCCGCTGACCACACGTTCTTCATGCATCCAGGGGCCGAAAGATTATTGTCCCCGGCATTACTCAGCGCGAAGTCTTAAAACGGGGTTGCTGTGATGTTATTTTCAACATCGTGTAAGCGTCTTCTTTTGCAGTACATGGCTTCACCTATTGGATCGGTACCATGCCGGCATAAACACTCGACAAGGACGGGCAAGAGGCTTTCATTACATTACGTGTCACAACAACTCAGACAAGCGAGGGGGCCCGCAACTCCCGTACCAGCATTTAGAGTCAACATCTTAGAGGTAATTAATCAGGGGTGTCGTCCTATCGGTCGCTGACGACACTCTTCTTCCAATCTCCCTTGCCTATGATGGCCATCTCACGAAGCTACGTATCAGTCGCCATCACACATGAATTATCCAGGCCGAAGACATTTAAAGATGACAACGAGGTGTACTGCTAGATATCTCTTTCACTTATCCTCTCAAGTCTTGGATAAGGCCATTCGAATTGAAGAAGAAACCACTTTATTGTCTTGACTGCAAATCTCAAGTAATAGATTCGATTCCTCCATGGTCTTTCTTTAAATACGGTTGAAGGTAATAGTCTGTCCGAGGACCAGACCCTGGATCCATTTCCCTGCTGCTAGTCCAGCCCTTCTCAAACTTGCAGACCATACTAGCAGAACCCCCACAGCCTATTCAAACGTCCGCCCAGAGACTACCAAAGACCAAAAGAATGCTCCTCTAAGAACCGTTGGAACCACCACCATTGTTACCACCCTTCCCAACACCACTAACAACGCAGTGTCCAAGAGACGGATCGCACTGCCTCTGCGGCGACCTACGCCCGAACCCGCCGCTAACCCGCTCGGCCTCGTCCTCAGCCTCGACCTCGAGCGCATCGAGGTCGCGGGCGGCAATGGCGGAGTGCGAGGCGTCGACTTTATCCTCGGCGATGACGTCCCCGAGCTGGAGGTCGTCGCTCTCGTGCTCGGCGAGGAAGAAAGTGTTTGCGGGCTGGGCGCCGTCGCAGCTGGCTTGGGCGACGACTTTTCCCCCCGTGTCGGTGCAGTAGACTTTTGCTTCGGCTGAGGCGGCGAAGAAGGCGGCCGCCGCGATTTGGATGGTGGGGAGGGTGATGTGTTGGGTCTTCATTGTGGATGGCTTTTTGGAGTTATTTGTTTTTGTGGTGGAAAGGGGTTGGAGCAGAGTTGTTGGACTTGAAAGGAAATTTAGAAGTAAAGCTGTTTTGGAAGATGGTTTGTGATCAGAGAGATGGTTGCTGAAAGAGTTGAGTGCGTGATGATGATAAAAAGAAGGCCTCCACTACAGGATGAAGGTCTCTTATCTATGTCATTCGATCGGACGCCTGAGATGGATGAGATGGTAAAGCCTTCTCATTACCCACACAGGTAACAGGTTGCGGCGCAAAGGATCGGCCACGCCGTAGGCAGACTTGGCATTCTCATGATTCCCCGATTGTGCCTCACCGTCTTCTGACTCAATCATTTCCGAGATCAAGAACTTTGAACGGCAAGATTTCTGTCTTGCTTTGCCCATGTCGTGAAGCAGTTTGCCAAGGTTCCCTTCACGAACGAGCCCGACAATCGCCATCATCGTGGCTCTACCGGATACAAGGTAAGCTTGAGAATGACTTAATTTGGGTAAACGGGCGTATCTCTTTCACGCCGACGAAGTTGTCAGGGTTGTTTCTTTGAATTCCGGCAGCGTTCGGCCATCTCGAGACGCCGAGTTCTCAAGGATGTTTCCAGACCTACCTACTCTGGGGAATTTCTTTCAAAATGTCGCCGTAAGAACAAGGAGGCCTTGGTTCTGTCGTGTATTCAAAATCAAGGAACAACGTTATGCCAGTCATAATTGATACTGCCTTACGAATCCACCCGGTTTCTCGGTTCGCCTTACAAGCTCACTTACACAAGACCACCCTGATAGCAAGGTACCAGTCTCCTCCCACAATGTCTACCACGTGTTTCAATAAGTCGTAGTAATGCCTCAATGAGTAATCTGAGTAGGGACCATGATCGCCGAGTTGAGAGCTGTTGTCCGGAGTAACCCGTGTTTCAAAGGGTTGTAGATTGTGTTGGCTCGGCTTGAACCGATGATACTTCGACGCTTCAACGGAAGACATGTTCACCACTGCCTACTCGCCTTAGAGACTTATCATCTTTCGCTCTCGCCCCACTCAACTCAAGTCATTCACCAAGTTAGCAAGTCATTGTCATGACAATCCAAAGTCGGTGATTGATTCAGAGCCATGAAAGTAGGAATTCCCGAGTTTTGAGAAGTTGCCGTGTTTCATGGACTGTATAGTCCAGATCGTTAAGGCACTGGGCATTATACTGTAACAAAACAAGCTTCCGCTAAACTTTTGATAGCCGCCGGGGGTCCTACCTACTTTCTTGTCTCTTGCGGCAAACATTTCCGGTATCCCCACGTAAATGTAGATCTTAGCGGGGTTTCTGTAGAGTCATCCTGTACGATGCTCTTTGCATGCAACGACTCAAGTATCGCGAAACGCATTTCCGACCAGGTCAATGTGATTGGCTTAAAACTGCCAATAAACTCAATTGCTCAGAAATCTTCAGTTTGACAAACAGAGTAGGTAATGAAAGTGTTGGAAATGCGAGAGCCAAACTTTGCGGCAGGTGTTCCCGGGCCATCATGCGGTGATTCGATTGCTAGAGACTCAATGGCTTCTTGCTTTTGAGGCCCTCAACCAACACCAGATTATGGGCGTCAAATGACTCCATCCATTAACTTCAAGCCACACGACTACAAGCAACCGCCATCGCGGTGAAGCCGAGGTGGGCACGTGGTTGTCAACCAAGATCGCCACTGGGTTGTGCGCAACGCCAAGACCAAAGAGGTTTGCAGTATCAATAGCAATTCTCACCAAATCTATTCAAATACGGCAGGCGAGCAGATCAATTTGCTTTTCCTGACTCGTCGACCCAAGGTGCCGGTAGCCCACATGGGTTGCGTTACTCATGAATCGTTTGAATATTACAGCGAACCAACGTGCGTGTCGCGACTTACACAGCTTATATTGCGCATATAGACAGAAAAGGCTAGAGATTAGCGCGCAGTGTCCGTGAGTTGCGGTTTCATCTCCTTGATAGTGTGCAACCCTTATTGTAATACGGTTAAGCGGCAACGTGTCTTTGGGGGCAGAAAGAAAGAGAGAGGGAGCAGATCATAATAGGATCCTGAGGAGACGTCAAAGCTTCTAGAAAGCCTCGTTTGAATTAGACTTCTTCTAGCGGCAAACTTAACTGGAGACATTTCCCATCTACCCATCAAACCCCAACTCAAAATAAGTGTCCGCAGGATCGGGACAATCAGAAAGGTGTCCGTATCAGAATTCAGGGTGTTGTAGATTAGGGGTGATCCCCGCCTCATCCGAACCTTGAGTAGGCCTGGCGACTGCCCGAGGGCAGACCTGCTGGTGAATAAGTATGTGAGACTGCCCTTTGGGGCAGCGGCCAAGCATCGTCGTGTCTGTCTTTTGAGTTCCTTGTTCCATCCCACTCTTGCTGGCTTTCGAACGCCCATACTCCACCACCTTCCTTCTTAACTCATTCTGAACCAAAAGAGCAACAAAGATGCGCCGTGTTCCAGTACAAAAGAGGCCAAATGCCACCCGCCTGGTCCAAAGCCAAGGCCTCGTCTTCGCCGACCTCGTGGCCCCCGGCGCCTCAGAGCCGTACTGGCCAGACGACCGCTACTACTCCTTCACCGAAACGGAGATGAACCTCCTCGAGGAAGCTGCCAGAGACGTGTTCGCAATGTGCTGCGAAGCAGCAGACTACCTCGTAGAGCACCCGGACATCATCACCAAGAAAATGGCCGTCCCCGCCTTCGCCCTAAAACAGATAAAGGCCACGTGGGACCGCGAACCGGCATGGGGCAGCATCTACGGCCGCTTCGACATCTGCTTCGGCGGTCTCGAGCACCCGGACCCGCGGCTGCGCGTGCCCAAATTCTACGAGTTCAACGCCGACACGCCGACGTCGCTGCTCGAAGCGGCGTCGATTCAGTGGCTGTGGATGGAGCAGACGGGCCACGGTAATGACCAGTTCAACAGCATCACGGAGAAGCTCATTGAAGGGTGGAAGCGCAACATGACGCTCGTCGAGAAGGAGCTGGGACATAAGCCAACCGTCCACTTCGCCGTCGGCGAGGGCGAGGCTACGGGGGAGGATGCGATGAACACCATGCTCCTGATGGAGACGTGCCAGCAGGCCGGGTGGACGACCAAGGCGCTGACGATGGAGGAGATTGCAAAGTCCAGAAAGGACGGGCGGTTCTACGATGCGCAGGGGGAGCATATCGACGTCATCTTCAAGCTCTACCCGTGGGAGTACATGGTCGAACAGCAGTTTGGCGAGGCGTGTTTCGAGGACATGGAGAACATTGGCAAGCGCGACGAGGAAGGGAACTACATCGGAGGAACAGTCTGGATCGAGCCGCCGTACAAGCTCCTCTGGAGCAACAAGGCTGTCTTTGCCGTTCTCTGGGACATGTTCAAGGACGACCCTCGGGGCAAGTGGCTTCTCCCCACGTACTTTGACAACGAGGCGCCGGCGTCCATGACGAGTTTTGCGCGCAAGCCCATCTTTGCGCGCGAGGGCGCCGACGTGGTTCTCAAGAAGGACGGCGAGATTCTCCAGGACGCGTCGACGGGAGACTACGGCGCGGAAGGGTACATTGTGCAGGAGCTTGCTGTGCTGCCCGAGTTCAAGGACGCCAAGGGCAGCTCGTGGTATCCCGTGCTGGGTATGTGGTTCGTCGACGGCGATCCGGTGGGCATGGGAATCCGGGAGGATGGCACGCCCATCACAACCAACGCGTCCGTGTTCATCCCGCATTCAATTGAGGATGGACCCGTCAACTACATGAGGCAGAAGATTCCCGACCAGGAGGAGATTGAGAACCTGTTGCGGGTCGAGCCGTTCTTTGATTCATTTGATAAGGAGGAGAATGAGATGATGAGCTATATCAAGAAGATTGTAATTTCGTAGCGGGTTTACTCTGGGGGCGAGTGTCCTTTCGGCGTGTTGTTTTTGGGAGGAGCTCGATATCTACTTTAGCGGGAATGGAATCGAGAAAATGCAGTTCCTAACGACTTTGATTATCGCCTTCTGATGATTAAGGATATGCATGAGAGTATAGCATGGCACTTGGAACTCCGATTTCAATGAGCATGCCGGAACTCAGAAGTTGCGAATCAAAGTCCCGCGAGTGCAGTCATTGCCCCAGAGAGAGTTCGCCATGAGTGCCGAGACAGGTCAAGCCCGGAAGCCATGCGAATACCTTCCGTTTGCGAGTTTGGAGTAGAGTTGTCGCGCTGCTCGGTATTCAGAAGCAGCACGTATCAGAGACTAGACGCGCGATGCGCAAAGATGCCTGGCCTCCGTGAGACTGGACAGATGACCTCGGTTTCGGTTGCATCTTCGTCGACAGAAGTAGATCCTGACCAGGTACGCTGGTTCGCCATGTGAGAAAGAAGCTTCCGCCAACTGCCCGAATGCCATACGCGTCCGCGATGCCGACTTGCCGGATGGGAGGTGCGGGTAGACAAGCAGGACTCTCCCAGATGCTGCCGGAACCCGGCACGGCGGGGTGCCGGAAGTTGGAGAATCTGAAGCGGAACAAGGGACCGGGCCCGGCGATACCGTCGGACTTTGCATCACGTGAACCAGGTGCATTACCTCAGCACAACACTTGACGCTTCCGTTGATGACCAGCTCCAGGGCAGCTCCAAAATTGCCTAAACTTAGGAAGGTTAGCGCGCAGGACCCCTGCACGGACCTGGCCAGCTTGACGGCACCTTTCGTCAGCCTCTCAGCCTGCTGAGCCAAACACCCAAAGCGTCGAACCTACCTTACCTTACCTTAGCATCTGGACACTCCAACCTTCGGCACGATCAACACCACCGCAAACCCACGTCTCTCCATTTCCCGTCCACGAAACCCCAACAAGGCAGACCTGTCATTCGACCTCCCATAACAGCAACTATCTGCCGACGTTCCACGACCGTTGCCGACATCAGTCCCCGAGAACCGGAACACCACCAGCCCAATCCACCCCGCAGCACACATACACAACCACCACCAAAAATGGCGGACCGCAACCTCCAACAGGTCCTCACCCAGCTCAAGACCAAGGGCTCCTCCCTCCCCTACACCGAATCCTCCGCCCTCCTCTCCAAAGCAAAACTTCACCTCCTCCAGCTCAACGCCCTCACCCCCTCGAACCCCAAGACCTCCCCCCAGCTCCTCGCCCTCGCCCGCGAGACCTACGAGCTCGGCGCCCTCGCCTCCATCCGCGCAAAGAACCCAGACGCCTTCACCCGCTACGTCCAGCAGCTCCAGCCCTTCTACGAGCTCCCCTCCAACGTCCTCCCGCCCAACGTCCCCGAGCGCAACAAGGTCACCGGCCTCTACCTGCTCCTCCTGCTCACCCAGGGCCGCTACGCCGAATTCCACTCGGAGCTCGAGAGCCTGGCCAACCGCGAGGGCGGCGGCGATAGCAGCGCCGTCGAGGGCGACAAGTACCTGGGCTACCCCATCCGTCTCGAGAGGTGGTTGATGGAGGGCAGCTACGACCGCGTGTGGAACGCCCTCAAGAGCCGTGAGGTGCCTAGCGAGGAGTACGGTGTCTTCTCAGAGGTAATCCCCCCCAGTCATTCATTCTCCTTGGCCCTGTGATGATCTACACAAGATATGCATATAGCAAAGGACCGTTGATGCTGACACTCTCATCTTCAAAAGATCCTCACCTTCCAAATCCGCTCCGAAATCGCCTCAAGCAGTGAGCGCGCATACCCAAGCCTGCCCATTAGCTCCGCAAAATCCCTCCTCTTCCTCGACTCCGAGGGCGACGTCATCTCCTTCGCCCAGGCGCGCGGTTGGATCCTGAAGGAGGGCCACATCTTCTTCCCCGACACCGCCGAGGGCGTCGCCGCCGAGGACGGCACCACCGAGAAGGAGATGAGCCAGATGGTGATAGAGAATGCGTTGGGATACGCCAGGGAATTGGAGACCATTGTGTAGACGTGGTTTGCAGAGAGGAAAGGGGCGTATGTTTTTGATGTATTAATATTCATGCGACTAGACAGACCATGAAAGAAGGAAAGCTCGGATACAGGAATCCAAGCCGGGCGTTAATGATCTGATCAAGTACGCATCCCAAATAGCGTGACTTGTGTCCAATCTCGGCACTTCAGGTGAACGGCGACCTCTGGTAATGCACTGAGCACGCGGGGACATCGAACGTTCAATTACGCTAGCACATCAGAGGTCATGGATCAAATGATGACATATATTCGTCCCCCACAAAACTATTGCTAACAATCAAAAGCCCGGGGTTTTCATCAGACACTCCAGTCTGTCTACTGTAAACTTTTCCCAAGACCAATTCCCCCATCGGCCGAGCGTTACTGCACCAAATCATGCAGTCTTCACCCCATCATGGGTCGGCGACATCTATTACACTAGCTAGCTCTCTCTACGCGAAGAGCTTCAGGCCACTGCCGTGCTTGCCGACCTCGCACACCCCGCAGACCTTGCAAACGGTGCCCTTGTACTTGCTGTGGTACTTGGAGCCGTCAAAGGCGCACTCCTCGTAGGAAGTGCCGCTGTAAATGGGTGAGTGGCTGGCTGCGCAGATATCAAACTCGGCAAACTGGTCAAATTCGATCTCAATAGCGTCTGAGGGGTTACGCTCGCATTGGGCCTTGGCTTTCTTGGCCTGCAAAAGGTGTCAGTCTGGATATATTTGGAATAAAAGGCTGATACTCACGTTTTCAGTCAGCTTGCTGGAGCCGCCATTGGCAATAATGCGGTTGGCAAAGCTCAGTGCTGAACCGTAGTTCTTGTTTCTTATCGCCAATTGCATCGCGTTGTGCAGGGCCAGCTGGCGATGAGGAACCTCAATCTTGGGGATGGTAAAGTAGGCTGACAACTCAAGGTTGCGCTTGAGCTGCTCGCCAGTGGTGCCGAGCTTGCGGCGGCTGAGCTCAATCTCCATGGCCACGGCATATTCGCTGGCGGATGTGATGAGCTTCTTCGCCTCGGCGACCTCGCTTTCGCTTGAAACGGCGTTGATAAGGATGGCGTGAAGGATACCCTTGAAGATCTGAAGACCGTCCTCGAGCTTGTTGGTCTTCATCGAGTTGTAACCCTGTTGCAGATCGTTGGTCGCCAGGAACTCGAGATCCCTGGGCACGATCGGCAACACCTTTCTAGGGTCCGTCTCCTCAATCGTACGTCGGACGTAGTTGACCAACGGAGGAAGGTTTGCAGAGGCTGGAAGATACGTTTTTGATGCCTGGTAAACTTCGAGGAAGCGGGGCTTCAGCGGCGCAAAGTTGACTGCTCCCACTTGTCTGTTGAGGAGTTGCATTGCTGACTCGAATGAGCCACCGGCAACATGATCCACGGCCAGAGGAGAGTTGCGAGCCCAAAGGTCGGCCTCACTGCTTCCAGCACCACCAGCGTCCGCACTGTCAACGTTTACGAAGTCGCCCTCGATCTCGGGAACGACATCATCACCCAGATCCCAGCCTGCCGCATCCTCATCATCGTCGACGTCGATGAGGTTGCCATTCTTCTTCGCAGCGACATCCTCCTCGACGTCGTCATCGAAGCCGTTGGCAGCTGCGGGAGTATCCTCCAAAGACAGTCCTTCAACCTGGCCAAGCAGGGCCTTCTCGAAGACAGACTGGGAAGTGGCCTTGGTGGGCCAGTTTGCCTTGAATGTGGGGACAACAGGCTTAGGGGGCGTCAGAGCCTCCCCAATCGTAGGCGTCTCCAATTGGTCCTCGGTGAGACCAGTGGCCTCGAGAATAGCCTGGCACTCCTCCTCCAAGCCGTGGGACTTGGCGGTCATGTATGCCAACGGGTCTGTGTCTTGTTAGTCGAGATCTTACTAATGCTTACATTGTAACAAACTTACACAGGTCGATTTCCTTGAACATCTGGATCCTGTCCTCAACCTCACCGAGGTAGAGGGCGTTCTGGAAACGTGCAGTAAAGTCACCTCTGTGCTCGGCAATCTTGGCCATACGTGCCAGCTTAGAGTGGTCACCGGTGGACAAATACAGGAATGAAAGCTTGTCGAACTGCTTGAGCTTTTGGTAAGCCATCTCAACGACCTGGTGGTTTCCGTGAGCCAAGGCCTCGGCGCTCAACCTCTGCCAAAGCTTAGGACGATCAAGCTCCTTGGCAGTCTCGACAGCAACGTCCAGGTTTCCGCACTCGATTGCGAGCTCGAAGCGGGTTGCGGGGTCCTGCACGAATTGCAGAGCAATCTCGGGGTATCCCTTCTTCTGAAGGTAAGAGATGATGGATTGACCAACAAGACTGGAGTTCTGGATGATGTGGAGCATTTCCTCGTAGTTACGCTTGACGAGGGCCAACTTGAATCGGTATTCGGTGGGATCGACGTGGAGAACCTTGGGCTTGGCCGCTCTGTCAAGGCAGTAGACGTTACGGCCCTTGACACGGACCAGATAGACGGTCTGGTCAAGGGTGCGGACAATACCGTTGTCTCCATTCAGAAGCGTGTACTTGATGTGGTTGAGGGTCGAGTACAACAGAACACCAGCATCATCCCAGGTTGCGCTCTTGATTCGGATAGTCTCGTGCAATGTGCTGACCTGCTCGAGGGTCTTCGTCACGATAGTGACGTTGTGCTTGCTCAAAAGGGCCGCGTACAGCCCATCATTCGACCACACAACGTACTTGACACCATTGACAGCCAACTCGGCGACACTCTTCTTCTGCCCGATGTCGTAAAGATGCACAGCGGTGGGCGTAATGATGAGGAGGTTGCCGGTACCACCGAAGTAGATGTCGCTGGTTCCGACAGGAGGCTTGAAGGAACGGGTCGTGTTGTTGGAAAGATCCTTGATGTCGATTGTCTGGCTAGACGTGTTCAGGACAGCGAAACGGTTGCGGGCGACGAAGATGGCCGAGTTGCCCTGGCCGCGCTTCGACTCGGTGGGCTCAATGGCACCGGATCCATCGCGAGGAAGGTTGATCAGTTCGTAAGACCCGCTGTCGGAGGGAGAGGTGACGAGAACGGAGCGTTCGGCCGGATTGTACGACAAGGTTCGCGGTGGGGTCCAAGGGCTCCCAAGCTTCTTGAGAGAGAGTAAAGTCGGGCTTTCGGTACTCTTCTGGAAGTCGTAGGATCTGACGTGCTTCTCCTTGGTGATGTAGAAGAGGTTGTTCTGGTATACTGACGATGCCGGTCTCTCTCTCTCCAGCTTGAAGACCATGACACCATTATCGTGGCCAGCAGCGAACAAATTGATCTCGGGGTGGGCAGCAATGACCCAGAATCGGTCGTTCTCGCGCTTGAAGGACTGCACCGCGGTGCGCTTGTTGAGGTCCCAGACGCGGATGGTCTTGTCCTCGCCGACAGACAGGATCAAGTCTTGGTGGGGGTGGAACAAGCAGCCAGAGGCGTTCTGGAAGTGTCCTCTGCAGGTGTCGACCTCCCAGGCCTTCGTTTCGCTCATGCGCCAGAGCTTGACGAGTCGGTCGTCGCCAGCAGACACAATCAGCGGCATGGTCGGGTGGAACGCAACCCAATTGACACCGCGGTCGTGGCCTTCCAGGACAAACTTGACAACAGCATCGGTGTTACCAAACATGTCGGTCTGGTTCTGGTTCGCGCGTGCGACCTGGTCTTCGAAGGT